TTCCAATCCAGCAAAATCACAAGTGACCTGCACCTATTACACTCTTTGTGCTGTCTTGAAGTAATAATAGGGGTGTGGTGTAATCTGATTACCTATCCCTAGTTCTGATCAAGATAGCAAGAATTCTTGAGGCTTCATAGCTGACATATCCTGTAGGGTATTGCAAAGACTACAATAGGGATATACCAGGATCTCAAATATATTGCACTGTTTGTATGACAAGAGCTCATTGGTCCACAACTTGTAGCTTCTTACGTATTTGCTTACTCATATTGTTACATGTCATGTAGGCTCTTGAAACTCGGCCATTCGTAGTGATATTAGGGGGTTTCAAGTTTGTTTGTTTTTTGCGTAAAATTTATAAATTCGGACAAGTTGTCCGTAAAAAAAATTCTGCGTAAAACCAACGTATTTTTAAAGCGGGACACCTTTTTAGGTGTCCCGCTTTAAAAAATTTACGCATATTTTACAACAACGGGCAAGTTGTTGTAGCGTAAAAATACGTAAAAATCTGCAACTTGAAACCCCCTATTAGTCTACCATCCCCTCCTGATTAGCAAACCATGATTCTTAGTTAGATTCATTGGCATCAACTTATCAGTCTGCTGATTGTAAGATTCCCTACAGCTACATATTCGGTCTGAATTTTGCCCTCATGAATGTGACGTCCTCTGTGGTGCAAGGACAAACTTACGTAGGTATGATCTATACCTCTTGCTTTGGCTCTTACATTGGCTGACATACCACAGCAATGAGCAATGGATGAACGTAAGATTTCATGACTCAAACTTGGAATTTCTTGCATCTTCTCCCTCTGAGGTACATATACATTTTGCATAATAGTTTCATTTCTTTTTTTCATTACACTCGAACGTACTTTCCCGGGGAATTGAAACTGTTGATCCCAGAATGCAAGAAAGACAATTAGTCAACCTTCTGCTCATAACAGAGAAAAGATCTGACCAGTGCGCCAAGAAAAAGAAAGACGCACAATTTCCGCACAATGAATACTTGCGTGAATGACATTCCGATCAACAACAGACTGGTACCAATATTCACCATAAAACTGGGCGGGGATAGGCAGAGTAAGAGAAGAACCAAAACTTGTCGATAGATGTGATCATAACAAGGCCCAAAGCCGATCACTCACAATTCGATCCCGAGTATCTTTAACTGTCGAGACGTTCCTATTTTCACGAGTTCTGTCAGTGACAA